GATCAGAGGCACGGACGGGGCTGTCTGGACTCATTTTTTGCCGTGAGCAGCGGAGCTGTGACCTTCTCTGCTGTCCTCACGCGTGCTTGGGGCAGCAAATGATGCTTGAACCACGTCCAGGCATTGGGAAGAGTCAGACACACAAGGCAGGAGGAAGCTGTTGCTTGGTGTGGCTTTGGCCTGCTAATCAGAGCAGAAGTGTAGAGCTCATGCACGCAGCCTTTTTGGGGAGTGAAAAAGGGATTTTTCTCCATGTAGGATGTGGTTTGTGAGTAGAAACTGTGTTTTATAAGGCTCTGCCGCCTTTCTCTGTCCTGCAGGCCCTTACAGAGGAGAAGATCAGTCTGCTCCTCCAGCTGCTCAGGGAGGAACTGGAACACAAAACGGAGGGAGAGAAACCGCCGATGAAGTTTGCCACGGAAACCTTGCAAGTGCACGTTCCTGCCTGCATCCTGGCTCTGTGCGGCTGGACTTGCAGGTGGGTAGTGGTGTAGGACTGATCCCAAAGTGTCTGCTGCACTTTGTGGTTGCAGTAAAAACCTGTCGGAGTCTGGAATAATGCGAATGTCCCTCCTGTGAAACATTCAATATCCCCCATTTCACTATTCTATTATTGTCTCCAGCTGTTAAATTTGATGGACTTCCAGAAACCCCAGTGCAAAGCTGCCCAGTCTAAAATAGATGTATCCTGAGATGGTAAAGAGTCTTAAACCTGAGCTATCGGTTGCCCCGCTCGTTGCTGATTTAGATGTTGAAGTCGTCCAGATGTTGCAGCCTTCCAGTGCTTAAAGGGGGCTACAAGAAAGCTGGAAAGGGACTTTTTTCAAGGGCGTATAGTGACAGGACATGGGGAAATGGCTTTAAACTGAAAGAGGGGAGATTTAGATTAGATCTAAGGAAGAAATTTTTCACTCTGAGGGTGGTGAGGCACTGGCACAGGTTGCCCAGAGAAGCTGTGGCTGCCCCATCCCTGGAAGTGTTCCAGGCCAGGTTGGATGGGGCTTTGAGCAACCTGGTGTAGTGGAGGGTGTCCCTGCCCCATGGCAGAGGGGTTGGAACTGGCTGATCTTTGAGGTCCCTTCCAACCCAAACCATTCCATGATTCTAAGTCAATCCTCAGGAACGCTTTCACTGCTCATCAGGCCTGCGGGAAGGGAGGGAGGGAAGGTTTGTGATCTGAAGGTCTGCAGCTTCCCAAAGCGTGTGCTGGGAGTAGAACAGCCACGCTGCTTGTGCCTGAGGCAGCTTGCCAAAGGTGAGGTGATCTCGTGCCATGCACGCTGGAAAAGGGCTCACGGTGGGGAAGAGTGGAGCTGCTGCTGGGGCTGGGCAGTTCGGGGGCTGAGGTTGGGGACGCTTTTGGCTGATGTGCCCTAAATGAGTGTGCTCCTGCTTCATGGCAAGCCAAAATGTAACCAAGCCAGTTTAAATCGATGCTATAGATGGGTTTTAATGGACTTGTCGTACTTCTTAGCACACGGGGTTATAAAAACAGCAACTATGTGCCTCAGCCCAGGGGTACTGATGTCTTGAAACGTGCTGGCTCAGGTACCTGTGACTGAGACCGTTCCTGTGCTCTGCCAAGTACCTTCATCTGTTGTGAAAGCTGCGATTTTGGGGAAGGGCCCATCCTTGACCTTCTCTTGTGACTTGGCTCTGTCCCTGCAGCGCTGCTTCTGGCTCTGTGCACCTCTCGGTGATCACCTGCTCCCGCTGCATGAGGAAGGTGGGACTGTGGGGCTTTCACCAGCTGGAGTCTGTGGGGCCGGAGCTGGACTCCTGCAGCCCGAGCAGCGCCCCGACAGCACCTGCCGAGCGCTTCCTGCTCGTGCCCTCTTCTCCACGCAGGATGCTCACGCGGAGCCAAGACACAGTCTCTCCGGGCTCGGAGCAGGTATGGCCCCTTAGCTGGCCCATGAGCTTGGGATGTCTGGGTGATACAGGGGCACACAGGAGGAGGGACTGATGTAGTTTGGGTGTCTGCTGCCTTTTTTGTTGAAAGAGACACATCTCGGTGCCATGTCTTCAGCCATGAACAACATCCAACAGAAGTGGGTTGCTGCTGCTTTCCCCGTGCCCTTCGCAGCTCTCTGTCCTCCCTTCTCTCAGCCATCCTGTAGAAGGGCAGGAAAAGGGCCTTTCCAGCCAGGATACTGGGGCTTATCTAACTCGGAGCGCTCCCAATCAGGGGCTTCCTTCACCCGTGTTCAACTAGACACGTCTGAGATGCTCCTGGTGTGGAGGGAAGGTGGCACAACTCCTGCCAGGATGGCTGAGAAGGCTTTGATTTCTTGTTTGAGCTGCACAGGGTCCTCCTGGCCACTTCAGGCAGAGGACATGCTGGTGACCAGAGAAACTCTATTAATTCCTTCTTCTTTCCCCACTGGAAGCAGGAGAAGAGCCCGTTGCCGGCAATTTCTCGCCCGCGGAGTTGGGACTCTCCCATCCCCATGGACCGGGGTGACTTTGAGGTGGCCAGCCCTGCTCTAAGGAGCCGCCCGGTCACCCGCAGCATGGGGCAGGGGGACAGCGTGGACGTGCCATCCAGTCCCCTGCGCAGAGCCAAGCAGGCACGGCTCTGCTCATCCAGCAGTTCGGTGAGTTCCCCGGGTGCAGGCACAGGGAGAGTCTAAGTGAGGAGAAGAGGGATCTGGGCAGGGTGCTCCTGACCCAGTTTTGTCCCCGTAGTGCAGAACAGCCTAGTCAGGGCTGGTATTTAGGCACAGGGAGGGTTTTATTGTGTGTTGGAGTCTGTTTTAAATTATTCTGTCGCTGTCCTCCTTCACTGTCATCTCCTCCCCCATGCAGGACACTTCTTTGAGGAGCTTCTTTGACCCCAGCTCACAGCACCGCGACTGGTGTCCCTGGGTCAACCCAGTGGAGGGAGGGGAAGCTCTGGAGGATACCACAGCGCAGACGGAGAAGGAGCCTGCGAAGGCAGAGCCGGGCTGGCAAGTGGTACTGAACACGCTCCTTGCCACCAGGAAGTGCGACAGAGTGCCTGAGACGGAGCCTGTGGTGAGCTGACGGGATCCTCAGCCTTAAATTGAAGCGCTCAAAACACTGCTTGCCCCAGCCTTGCCCAGGGCTGAAAGCCAGTGGGCAGAATTTGGGGTAGATGGGCTTTGTTTGGGCTGAATGCAGACCCAGCTGGGTGGCAAGGACCAAGTGTGTGTCTGTGGAGTCTCAGCTTCCCCTCCGGCTGCGCTGACGGCCT